GGGCCATCTGTAAATTAGCTTAGATGGCCCACAGGGCCATCTCCCAAAATCCTTAATGTCATGCACTGCACACTACCAAATAGTGATGCACTGTCAGGCTTTATATGTCACCCTTTGTGCAAAATCCACATTTTCATGTATTTTATACATCAACATGTGTCCCCTCTGTGTAAAGAGATTCTGAAAGTTTCAGGAAAAAAGATTTGCTAACTTTTTTGTTTGAAAATGAGCTGATCCGATTTTGGCCACGTTATGATGTCATAACGATTTTCTGGCTTGTTCAACCATTAACCAATAACCAACCAAGGTAACACTCCCCCCTCTTCACCAGGGGTTGTCCTACTAAAGAGAGTTCTGTTGCCGAAGGGCATATCGACTAACTGACCAGAAGGTGTTAGCTTTAAAATGATTAAGTCATGTTGAACTACTTTGACGTTCTGTGTGCGTTAGTTCAAACGTTTTGCGTTTAAATGTCACATTATAAACCAGCAGGAAGGAATGCTGTAAATACTCACTTTATCCAATGCAATGCTAGTAACAGATCATATTAGTGGATCATTCGCCTCCCTTACACCTTTGTGTTATGTATTTGGCTGTAATATGTGGAATCTATCCTCTGTTCTGGTTCAAAGTAAATGCTTTTACATTTACAGTTTAAATCAGATGAAATTAATTGAACAAAGCCAGCTGTGCCAGGCTTGACTCTTTTAGGTGATTAAATGCTTCAGGGTGTTGGAGCTGACTACAGACAGAACAGTAAGTCTTTGTTTTCTCATTTTCCAACACGTGGTTGTTCACACTTTTCAGGTGATACCTTTTTTAATTCAGGACATGCAGATAAGTAATGAGTGCAGTAAAATAACAGTGGGAACATGACATCAGTAACAGTGTGTGTGTGTGATGAAGTGCTGATGACTTGCCTGGCTGGCCTTGGCGTTGACGTTGCCTTTACTGAAGAGCCTCTTGACCACAGCCATGTCGGCCTCCTCCTTCACAGTGGAGAGGGCAGCCAGCATGATGGCCGTGTAGCCCGCCTTGTTCTGCTTATCCACACTGCACACACCTGCAGGGAGCGCATAAAACATTATCAGCTGAATTGGAAATGTATATTTATAATGCATTTTTCTGATAATAAAATATAGCAGATACATTATCAGCAGATGATACTTTAGTTATATTTGGTCAAGTCTAAGATAACTAAAGTAATATTAAATCATTCGTCTTTGCATACTACCGTTTATTTTACCCAGTTTCTTAACCTCAGGAGGGAAAAAACTAGAAGTTTTAAACTCCTTTTAGATTTTTAAATTATAGGCAAGCGCCAAAAAATAATTCATATCGTAAATTCCCAGTTCATTAGGTAAATATGCAAGTGCATCAATATACTGTACCTTTTCCTACTTACATATGAAAAAAACATTTGCTCAGTTCAAAAACCGAAAGATAGTGAGTATAAATCGAAACAGAAAGCCAAGAAATCTCAGTATAAGAATTGTATTAAGTAATTTTCTAAGGTAATTTTTCTGTACATGCTGTAAAATGATAAATGTTAGTTTCTCCAACAATCCATCATCATCTGCACTTCATGTAACATCCTTTTTGATGTCTATGTGAAAGTATTTCTTTCACACCCTCACACTAACAAGAAAGAATATTTAGCTTATGTTTTGTATCTGACAACACCCTATTTCCTTCCAATTGACCTGGGGTCCCTAGATGAGAGGTCAGCAGCTGTATTATTTAATTGGTTATACATTTAATGGTGTACTGTGGATTATTTTCAGAAGGGCACTGACTTGTGTCCAGCAGCAGCCCCACCACCCCGAAGTTGGAGTGGGAGACGCTGTAGTGGAGTGCAGTGTTTCCGTTGCCATCGGTCATGTTGACCACGTGCTCCAGCAGCACAGACGACACCTCTGAGAACGCCATCAGGTAGTCCGAGACCCGAGGAGGCAGAGCCATCTTGGCGCTGGAGATACGGAACCACTCGAGCTGCACTGTGTGGGTACTGGAGAGCTGGTGGTATATAAAGTAAGTTTAGATTACACAAGATACGTAAACAGCAACTGCTGAATCTCAGCAGCTGAAAAAACATGAATCTGTTATTGTAGTCAGTGGTTGATATTGTCCATTTATAATGTACATTGTTCTAAAATTGTCCATTTCACATTTGGTTAGTATATTTTTACACAAATACTTTTGACTTTTATTCAAGTAATGTTCTGAATGCAGAACTTTGACTTTAAACACTATTTCAACGTATTGGTATTACTGCTTTTACTTAAATAAAGCGGTCGTACAACTATCATCAACTTGGTTAAGTGTTAAATTAAAAGGTGTAACTAAGTGATATAATGAATAGAAAAAGCATGCAGGGACGCACCACTTCCTTACTCTTCAGTGTTTTTAGGTCATCGTTCAGGTGGTTCTTCACAATGAGGCACGCTTCTCTCATTTTTGAGCTCAGCTCAAACCTTTAACAAACAATGTGGGATGTTGAAACACAAAACAAATACCTGCTTTCTTTACATAGTTTCAATTTTATACAATTGTATGTGGATTTTGCCATTAATGTCTTTGTTCATGTTTTATATATTAGGAAGACTGTCATCAAACATGGTTTTGTTACATTCATATAAAAAAAATGTAATCGGGAAACTACATTTACACATTTTGAGCCTTGTATTCTGAAACTGAATTCATCAATAAAGCGAATGTATATTTCTGTACTGAGGAACAACCTACTTCTCTTTCACGGCATCGGAGGAATAATTTGACGCTCTCAGGGTTTCCTCATCAGTGTCACTCTCATCCAGGTTGACGTTTCTTTCCTCGTCAGATGTTTCTTCCTCCAGAGCCGCCTCATCCTCCTCGGTGCTGTCCAAGCACTCACCCTCTCCACTTTCCCCAGAAGAACTCCCATCTTCCTCCTCTTCTTCTTCATCCTCCTCCTCTTCACTGGATGTTGATTCATACCTGGGAGACACACACGTTTGTTATTTCCAACCTCTAGACCAGGCATCCTCAAAGTCCGGACTCCGGTCCGGATCCGGACCGAACCACAACTGTCTCTGGACTCTGAGCAAATTATACTTTTC